CTGACAGCATCTTTTGTTACATAAAATGCTTCCGATAGCAGCAGGTAGATATTGGAGCTCTCACCTCAGCACTTGACCATTTGTAGATGCTTAACTTGGGCCTTTTCAGAGATCTGGTCCATTTAGTCCATCTCTATGGGAAAATGAAGAAAACAGAAAAAAAGGTCTTCATACATATAGTATGTACACATGTGTTGTCTCTTCCTCTCCCTCCCTCTCTCTTCCTCTCTCTCTTTTCCTCCCTCCCCCATCTCTCTCTGTCTCTGTCTCTGTCCCCCCAACCCCCAGCGCTGTGTGTTTTGTGAATCATAGAACATATGTCTGCTCATTTGGAAAAATACAGAGTAAGTTTATCTTCAACAAGCGTTATACATCTGAGCTCCGATCGGTAGCTGGGACCAAATCTTCATCCCCAGCTCTTCTTCTCTCCCCAGTTCCTGCAACACCAGGTTTATTTTATGGGCAGGAAAACCCCTCGCCTCTCCCATGTTCCTCAGTCAGCTTCTCTGGATGAACTCGGCGTCCTCAGTGAGCCATCGGGGCATCAGGAGAATTCTCGCATGCCCCGCTGTGTGTTGAAAAGTGCCAGTGTGTTGGTCGGTGTTTGCTTTGTCTTGCGGGACAGAGGAGCCATGGTTCAGGAGCGGCAAGCGGGCAGAGTCAGTGCCACGGTGCCCCGAAATCCGCAGACACCCCGAAGAGGCAGGGTGCTTGCTCTCTGTGTCAGGGAACAGCGAGAAGCAGATGCCCGGCGGGGGTGGGACCCAGAGTGCCCGTGTGGCAGCCTACTTCTGTCACCGCTCCGTTCGGGAAATAAACATTTATGCTTTCTGAAATGCGAGTGTATTTTTGAAGACTCGCCGTCAGATATTTTTTGCCCTTCACACTTTCAAATGCTTTAGCCTTTTCTTTTTTTTTTCCCAAGTTGACTGCCAAGTGCACCCGTTTGCCAGGCTAAGGAAAAAAATAAATAAAAGTGCGTGACAAGTACCCAGGACACCACTGCCATGCTCCGAAGTTTCCAGGTCACAGAGGCAAGAGAGTTGGCACAGAACATACTTACTTCAAGCCTGTTACTTGGGGGTACCTGCCTTTTGAGTAGCTTTCAGTCCTTCCCAAGGATGCTGTCCCCAGCTGTCATCTGGTTTATTTGGAGCACGCCGGGTTGCAGATAAACACGCCATTTAGCTGAGGGTCAAGGCAGGGAGTCCCTCTGCTACCTAACGCCCGAGATGCATTAAATGACACTGACTCTGGGACAGAGATAAAGGGAGATCGGGCTTGTCCGTGACGTGCAGGCCCTGGGCTGCGGCTGGGGACGAAAAGAATGTGAGGCAGACTCTGCGTTTTCTAAAGCCGTGATACGGCTGAGCATTTAAAACCATAACCTGTCACACACCAAAGATGAAGATCCCGGGATGTGCACAGCGCGAAGTGTAAACACCGCCCCCACAGCGTATTTTATTTCGCCGGGGAAAGAGGTTTCTCTCCAAAGCTGGCTAAATGTTATCGATGGTGAGGACCTCTAACTTCCAGCCCAATGGCTATAAAACATCACTAAATGCTGGTAAGAGCACAAACAGGTAATTACCCTTCGGTCCACGTAGGTGTTGCCGGGAAAGCAGTTGTGTTCCTACAGAATGTCTTGCACTCGGTTTATTAAGACACGCATTTTTTTTTTTTTTTCATTTAGATCTTGGCCAGTTAAGTTTTTATACAGGGCTCGGATCTGCTGATAAATATAGGATTGTATCTGTGTGTCTGTGTGTGTGTGTGTGGAATAAAACTATACTCCAAAGGGCAGGGAGAAGAACTTTGGGGAAGGAAGGTACCGTGTCTGCTCTGTGTTCGGCTTCCTCAGGGACGAGGTGAGCACAACCACCTCGTGATGAGGCTGTTACCTGGGCATCTGGGCAGGAAGCGCGTTGGGGCGGATCGCAGAGGTGAGGTAGGAAAGGGTTAACGGGTTGAGATCCAGCTATTTCTAGAGAACAGTCAGACCTGTATTTACATTGCGTAAACTGTGGATTGCTCTTTTTCTGTCCTTTGGTAAAATTATACCTCCTTACATCAGCTGAAATCGACTTGAAGAAGGCAAGAAAACTTGTCAAATCATCTCCTCCTCCCTGACCAAAAAAAAAAAAAAAAGTAGACTCTTTCTTTACCTTTTCCCCTTCTTTTTATTTCATTAAGAAGGGAAAGAGAGGGGGGAAAGTTAGGTTTATAGGAAGGGTGCACACACACACAAACACACACACACACACAGAGCCAATACCATAGAAGAAAATAAATTACAGAATCCACCTAGAGAAAAAAAAAAGAACTTTGAGATTTATTTATTTACTTATGTATTTGTTTAATTGTTTCTTTGGCTTGATTGAACCCCAAAGAAATGTGTGAAACCTTGTTATGGCAGGAAGAAAAAAAAAATTGTTCATTTGTAAATCGCAGGGACAAAGGGGCCCGGTGCAACTTTGGAGTTTCCGGGCACGGAAATGTCGATAGCGTGGCTTCTCCATCATCAGCACTAAATTCACATTGATGCCTCTTTTCTTCTCCGTATTGATCCTTCCATGAGAACGTAGATTTGTATCTGTTAATTAATGCGTCCTGAAACAGCGTTTGTATTAATCAGGCAGATAAGAAAAATTGGATGCTGCACCCTCCTGACAGTCAGCAAAGTGCTGGCCCTGATAAAATCGTGGATGGACCTCAATAAAAAAGTTCCTCCTTCCACTCAATAAACTAATCATCCTGCTTTTAATTATTCGGCAGAAAGATGTGTGGAGATTGGAGAATGTGTAAATCTATTTACTAACAGCAGTGTCTGGGAGGCAGAACGGGGCTGTCACGGAAGGCGCTCGGGGCTACGTGCTCTGTCCATCTGCTGCTGCGGCCATCGCGGCCGCGTGACCGGGCAGAGCAGCGCTCGGCAAACGGAAAACGCCTTTTGCCCATCACTTCCTGCAGGACCGTGTATTGTTTCAGCGTTTAATTGACAAAAGAAATTCCTACGTTGCCTTTTTTTCTTGAGAGAGCTTTTTGAATGTGCATTGCATCTTTTTTTTTTTTTCCCCCTTGGGTAGGGGGGAAGGAGGCAGAAAAAGGACCGGTATTGTTTGTTGGTTGGGAGTCTCACCTGCTCAAAATCAAACGCAAATGGAGCCAAACCTTCTCGGGTCAGATCATTGTTGTTAGTGTTATTGTTGAATCCGTGTTTCAGGTGGTATCAATTGTATAGCTGATTTGATGAGGATATTTATTCATTTAATCCACATTGCAAAGACACACACACCAAAAAAAGTGGAAAAAATGATGTACACTGCCAGGTCCCAAGGAAATCTGTCCTGCAATGTGTCATCAGCTTGATAAACAATAAAAGAAATGCTTTTCACAGGTGCCTGAGAACGTCTTAAGTGAAGCTTGACTAGTCCCCCTTGACGATTTTATCAAACACTTCTAGTTAGTGGCTCCAAATGGCCAACTACTAGTTACCACCAACAGTCCAGGAAATCTTTTCTCCTCCTTATTGTGCTGTCGTTCCTAATATGACATCGGAAGTGAACAATTTTAGGTGAATAAAAACGATGAAGCAATGACCTTAGCAAGAGCCTAAGAAGATTGGGCAGAACTGTCTGTTTTTGATTTGGGTAATAGGGTCTAGAAGGGGAGCAAAAATCAATTTTATAAGTTGCACTATCCAACAATTTTCCTTCTATAGAATTACTAGTGATGGTACCTAAATCATGGTGCTGTTGTCCTCAAAAGTCACAGGGGTGGCGGGTTACACTTGGGATCGCTAGGCATAACCTTAGAAAAGAGAGTGAAGTTTTTCAAAAGAGACGCTTCTTTTAGGATTGTTGGCAAAGTATGTGGCTGATGATCAGGTATATTCATCAAGATCTTATTCCTTAACTTTGTTTCAGAATTGTGATCTAGTCCTGCTAAACTATAAATATATCTCCTTACTCCTAAGTAGGCTTAATTGTACTACTTCATTATTTCCTATTGAACCTCATTTTCTTTTTAATATTATATATATTTGCATATGTTTTGTCAAGCTCAGAAGGAACTGTCGACATACATGTGCAAATGTAGACCAGATTTTTAGTAAAGAATTGAGAACAGTCATGCAGGTATGTTGGAATAAAATAATATCTAATGTAGCTACGCTTATTGAATGCATATTACAAATTCATGTTTTATTGGATGGTTTTTATATTTTTCAATAAAATATGAAGCTACAAGTAAGTTGTCATGCTCAAGAGAGCCAGGGTCTCAGTGGAGCCGATATTTACAGTCAGGTCTGGCTCTGCTCATATCCTCTCCACAAACCCCCTTGCCTTCATATGTAACTTTCTAAATGACTGGATCTTAATCCCAAGAGTAAACTTGCTTTTCTATGTGGTGAGGAGGCCAGGATGCTGAGTCTTCTACTCGCTTTTGTACCAATAGTGACTATTTTAAAAATGAGTTCGGGATAAACATCAGTGGGGACAAATATCCAGTTACCAAAGGCTCTTTGGGGCGTAAGTATACACATCGATCTCTGTGTTTGTGCCTATTATTATAGAGAAACATTCCAACTTTCCCTCTGCTGCCTAACCTAAATGATTTGTTTTCCTTTATTTTTTGGCTTTTCAAAAAGAAACATTTATGTGATTATCAGTAGTAGTGAGAGCGTTATTAAGACTTCAGCCAGAAAATCAAGCATATTTAACGATTACATCGTGTTTTCTTCTCAAGTGAGAGATACAGAATTCTCTACTGTATCCCTCTCAGGCCCAGTCTATAAAAGCGTGGGAAAACACCACCGTGTTGAAGCTGTTGGTGATTCTTACTCTGCCCTTCACAGAGGGATCAAGGGAGGATTTAAGAGTATCTGACGGAAACGCAGCCTAACTTTGAGCCTGGACGCAGAGGCTGACCGCCACTCGCACTGAGGTGTCGTGACGGAATTATGGCTTCGGACTGACTTGATCTGCTCTTCTTCCCATTAGGCTTCTCCACGCTGTCCCTGGCCGACCAGATGAGCCTCCTACAGAGCGCTTGGATGGAAATTTTGATCCTGGGTGTCGTCTACCGATCTCTCTCCTTTGAGGATGAACTTGTCTATGCAGACGATTATATCATGGATGAAGACCAGTCCAAATTAGCAGGCCTCCTTGACCTCAACAACGCTATCCTGCAGCTGGTCAAGAAATACAAGAGCATGAAGCTGGAGAAAGAAGAATTTGTCACCCTCAAAGCAATAGCTCTCGCTAATTCAGGTTGGCATACTGATGTGCTCGTTGTTGCCTTTTATAACGTGTCCGTTGTACTTTCCCCTCACCTTCTCCAGAGAGTTGCTAGACCCCGTTGTAAGGATGAATCAGCAACATGGGAATCATTACAGTATTCTGGTGAACAGTTCATAAATAAGAAAGATCGACTTCAGGGGTATTATTTTTATTGTATTTGCTTTTTTTTTTTACCCTCACCCGAGGACATTTTTGCATGTATCTTCAGCTAGAGCGGAAGGGAGGGAAGGAAGGAGGAAGAGAGAGAGAGAAACATCAACGTGAGAGAGACACATCAAGTGGTTGCCACCCGCACGACCCCAACCGGGGCCGGGGACAAACTGCAACCGAGGTACGTGCCCTTAGCGGGAACTGAACCCGGGTCTCTCTGGTCCGCAGGCTGATACTCGAACCGCTGAGCCAAACCGGCCAGGGCTGTATTTGCCTTTTGAAAGCTGTGAGCTCTTGCTCACCTGAGTCCCTCCCTAACCTGTAGTGCACATGGAATTCTCAGAACAAAATTAGCTCCGTTGTCTCGTGTGCATAAGTGCAAATCAGTGTGAATTACCAATACCCACAAACTATTTCCTTCCCATCCAAAAAAAAAAAAAAAAAATGCATAGTTTGCAGTTGTAAAAAAGAAGCATATTTAGTGTTGCTTTTAATTTTGGTCACCAGTGCACACTCTGTTTCTTTACCTTGTGGGATTCTCTAGAAGTCAAATTCTGATGAGGGAGTAGACCCTTCCAAGGACTCACCTATGCAGGAAGGGTTAAGAATGATGGGAATACACAGTCTTTACCTTTGAACTCCAAGGGACTAAAATAGGGAGCGACCTCTGATAAGTAAAAATCATTGGCCCTTTGTGTTTTTTTCCCTGGATGCCTCAGCGAAGGCTTTTATTGTGGTCTTCAGTCTGTTGCAGTATTTGCATAAAGTCCCGGATAGATCCCTCCTTAATGACGTGCCGATCATTAGATACCTGCGTGTCAATAACACGCTCCGATGCTATGTGCCTTTGACAGCCACAGGGCGCCCCTCCATCTGCTTTTGTTTTGACCCTATCTTTGAACTTTATCTTGGTTGCCGGCCAGTAGTTTTCCCTTTAATTACAAGAAGGAAACTGTCAATAAAATCTGTTAAATGGGATGCAATGAGTGGCTTGAATGGGCGGATGGCTATTTGTTCAAATTCTGCAGCATTCAAGGTATTGACAGTTTGTTTTCTGGGGCCATATGTGACGATCAATCTCAGGCTGGGCTCAGCCGCGCTGAAAAATGAAAAACCAGATTGCTTTTGCTGAGTTGGGGATGACGACTTTGTGATTTGGCGCGGTCCTCGTGAGATGAGCCCGTCTGCCCAAATTGCCCCCCTGAGAGCCGGGGACGCGTGACTGTTTTTAGAAATAATTTTTAATTGATTTTGTAATTAACAGTTCATCTACAATATTGATGCGTGCATCCGTGGACTGATAGGAGGGAAATTGTTTTCAACAATGAAGTTGTACTTTCTCCTCTCTGGCGCTCTAATGGAATCGAACATTTCGCACTTTTCATGGTGAACACGGCCCTCTTCCTCGTCACCCCAACCTCTTGTCCCGTTTCCCTGAGAAACTGTAAATGATGATGCGTGATGACAAATGGCGTGGCTGTTGGGGCAGACCCTCAAGGACCCCTCCCTGGCCCTGCTCTCTAAGAAGCCAGAGTGGGAAACGGGTCAGATATTTTCTGAGAACGTATGAGTTTGCAGAGACTTCTCTTCATAGCCCCTCTCGTAATTAGATGCAAGATTTGGGGTAAGAATTTTTATCTGGGAATCTCATGGTGATTCACATGCGAACAATTCCTTGCGTGATTGTTTGGGGACGAACAGCCTGTTTTGTGTCTTTCATGTTTCAAATGGCTTTTTTTTTCTTTTTTTTTCGATGATGAATCATGAATGCTGAGCAGGGCTAAGATTTTATCATCAAAATTACTGCAATTTTTATAATTTTAGAAGTTAGGGGGGGGTCCTTTATGGCTATGGATTCTAATTTAGAGAGCCCAAACATGGCAGCATTTCTGTGGTGGGGAAATATGATCTTTAATATTTTTGTAGATAAGTAGTTGACTCCCACACACTCTTCTGTCATGGGGAGTAAGTGACCTACTTTAGATGCAAGACTGGTGATTAGAGTATTTAAAGAACTAGTTGGTTTGTTTTTCTTGTTGAAAGCAGGAAATAATCAACAAGCCCATTCCTTTCCCTCTATTATAGTATTGAGTAGCATTTTTTTCTAAGAAAATGTCTCCATGTCACACATTTTTCCTGTGTGTCATTTTAACAGTCTTTATCTTCTCAATACCAAGAGAGGCTAACCTGGCATCTCCCACATTTTAACTTGGGATAAAAGACTCAAAGTCATTTTCTTTGATATTGTATATGATGCTATTCATTTTATTTTATTTTTTTTCTACTATTGGGATGCCACTGATAAAGTTATAGATTTGATCTTGCTTAAACCCAGTGATTCTTCAACTGCTCATAAATGCATCAATATGAAAATGTTTTCATTCTAGTCCTAGGTTCCCGAAGAAGCTCATAGATTCTCTTTTTGGTATTTAGAAATTTCAGATCAGATCAATGACTTTTTTGTGCAAAAATAAAGGAAAAATCTATTTCAGTGTTATTCAATTTATAGGTATCTTAGCATTCCCTGTATGGCTGTAGGTGTTAACAACCATTGTCTCATTAATCTAAATTTCAGCTTATTTTAAACATCTGTCTTTATTCAATAATTATAAATGTTGTGCTCATGCCTGGGAAACAGGGAATTGGCTTCCTTATAATGGCTGTCATATTTTTTGTGGCTGTGTTTCTGTCATGCGAATTCAGGAATACTTATAACACCAGAACACCGGTGGATAGATAGTCCCTCTCTTCAGGTATATGACCCCCCCCAAAAAAACCAACAAAGCAGTAGATCATAAACTAATACTGTATTTCTCCCATTCAATAGTTGGAAACTCTATGTAACTGTCTCAGTGAATTTTGAAGGTAAAAGAACTCAGAGGATCACTTATACTCTGCAGTGTCTTATTTTTCAGTGTCAGCGACCTGATACATCTAAGTGGGATGGAATTTTAAAAGTAAAATCAAAGTCGCTGTTATAACACTGCAGATGTTAGGCCCAGTCTTTTTCATGCGTAGATTCTTTTTCGTATGGGGAATTCTATGATGCTGTAATTAATTTTACGTCTTTGTTGTAAAATACAGTTAAATACGACTACAAGCATTTTGGGTATGATTCTGTCATGGGATTCCATTGTGCCTTATGTCTAAGAATTTGTTTGATGCGGTACTGCCCCCAAGGTAATATACTCATTTTTATATAGTAGAAGATTAAAGCAGTTTAAGATTTTACTTCTACGTAGTATTTCTGGAATAATAGCATCTATTGATATAAAGCCGCAAGTAATATGTTGGTCATCATTTTTAAATCATAAGTAATTGTAACCACCTCGTGACAGTATTTGGTTCTTGAGGACAGATGGAATATGTGTGGAACTGCGGCGTAATTTCAAGGATAGAAAGTTTACGATTGCTGCAGGAGATCAAAATGGGGTCATATTTAATCAGGCCCTTCGGACCTTCTTATAGGTTTGAATTAGTGCCTCTCATTCTTTTTTCATTATTCTTCTTTTAGGGTAACCTTTTTAGATCTGTCTTCCCCAGTGAAATAGTAATAGCACAAATAAGACTATGTATCTGTTTATATACTTTATATATATACATATGTGTGTGTGTATATATGTATGCATTTTATCTGAAAAGAGAGAGGTTTTTTTTCTACTCTCAAAATCCATATTTCAGCTCCTTTGAGAATGCATGGTGTAGTCATACAACAGTTTTCCTCTCTGTAAAACGAGGCAGGCGAATTAAACAAAACGCCTGCAATTTCCCAATCGGCCTAACATTTTAATGTCAGGTGCTTTTAAGTGAGAGCGGTGAGTTTGGTCATCTGTTTCGAGTGTGGCCTGTATTTGTGCTGACTATGAACATATTCACAAATCTAAACAACTAGTATAAGTGTGTAAAACCTCTTCTCTCCTTTAGTATCTACTGGGCCATCAAGCAATTTTACTGAAATTTGGGCTAAATTGGCTGATTGGATATTCTGGCGATGGTTGTGGCTATTGCTCAATAGAGTGTCTTTTTTTAGAATTTTTGTCCGGAGACTTTTTTTTTAGCCTTCTCTCGGGAATCTCATTTGATTTCCACAACACACGTGGGAGGTGGGCTTGTGCAACTGCATTTTACAGGTCACTGAGGGGAGCTGATGAAGACACTCAGCCCTGAGGCAGAGGGGTGGACCCTTGCTATCAATAACCTATGTCTTGTCCCACAAATATGAAGATAGCATGTTTTTAATAGGGTCCATGCAGAAGGCTTTGGCCATTGAAATTTCACGTCTGCTACCTAAATCGGTATTTTTTATCTAGTTGAGAAATTTGTGCCCATTTCCTTCATCTTGCTGTCTCCTTGGCATTACAGTGGTACAAAACCACCCAAGAAGGTAACAAGGAATTGGAGACCAGATGTTTACCAGACTGTAGCATTTTATAAGAAATAAATATGGTAAGTTTTTTTGTGGCAGGTAGAGATTTATTCTTCACTTCTACTCAGACCAGACCATAATGAATACTATCAAGTAAATAAGAAATCAACATTTCAACATCGCTTCTCCTAGTCTGCTGCTCCTTGGTTTTTGCTCAGATTTGCCATCACTATTCGGATTATTTTAATTTTATTTAAGATAGCATATTTGGCTTTTTTTTTTTTTTTTTCACTTTAAGGCAACCCTTAAATTTCATATATAGTATATTTCAAATTTTTATGTAGAAAAATAAAAACTGGTTCTTCAGTGTGTTTGTGCTCAGTGATCACTGTGTTGGCATAAGAGAGGAAATATTTGCTTCCAGTGTACCTGTGCTTCCAACCTGGGTAATAAGCATATACAATAGTTTGTAATTGCTTTACTCCTAAAGAGTGACATGACATCATTTTCATTCACAGGCCTTAAGATGATGAGCATTCTGTTGCAAAAGGTCATTAGCATGGCACAGACCATTTGTGATTTGTGGAAGGTGGAAAGATGTACCACTCAAGTGGGTATCAACATTCGCTTACTGAGTATAATTGTCTTTATCTCTTCCAGTAGATGCAATTAGAAGCTCCTTAGAAAGTGTAAGCTACCAGAGGGAGAGACAGAGAGAAGTCCTTGTGGTTTGTGATGCTTTTATGCTAAATGTGTATCCTGACACAATCGTTTTGTCTATTTAAAACCTTTTTAGAAAAAAAAATTTAATGGGATTCGAAGTCTCTTTTAATATGAAAGTTTCTCTTTCGTTTTACAATTTCTCTGTTGGAGGAGTCAGCCTGGACTTTGAAGACTGCCTACTCTGGGTGCAGTTTGGCAAACTTCTGTGCCCTTTACATTACGTGCCAATCGGCAGCTTCATCCAGAGACTTAATCAGACTCGGGTTCAATTCCTGTAGCACCCAAAGGTATGGTGTGCTGCTCATTGGGAGGCATGTAATGTCTGGTTGTCTCTCTTTGATGCTCATTACCAAATCTATTAATCACTGGAGTTTGCAAAATGGTGATTTGTAATTTTATCAATTTTTTTTTCATTCGGTAGTTAGGATATTTATATAAAGTGGTGCTTTTTCTCATCCTTATTTGTTTACCAGTGATACATTTGTAGGAAAGATAGGCTAAATGTTTGATTCTTTCTCTTTATGTTTTCGAGATAAAGAATTGGCACTCTATCTTTTTTTAATGTCATTTATAAACACATGCATTTAAACATATTCAGTGGATTTCAATCAATTGCAATTGTATGCCTTTTTGAAGCTCAAACTGTCCATTTGGGGTCAGTTAGTTTGGGTCACAGTTGGTGATTTTCTTTAGTGTTGGTCAAGTTCTACTTTGGGTCAGTCTTGGGTGAGCTGCTGGTATCTTCTTGAATGACTTGATAGTTTTTTGGGGTTTTTTTGTTTTGTTTTTGTACCATCTTACCCATTATTTTAAAAGTATAGCCGCACCTCATCTAGTTAGCTCATAAATCTATGGTTTTCATTATTACGTTTAGCTGGCTCAAATTAGCATGCATACTGGGACTATTTCTTGAAAAATATTAAGTAAAGAGAAACCATCACCAACCACCAAAGCTAAATAATCACATAAATTAATCCTGGGTCTGTTGACCCTGGCATGCATGTATAAATTTAGCCCAAAGAACAGAATGGAGATTAAAGCTACAGAGCCAGAATTTGAACTAGGATCTCTAATGGAGATTAATATTTTCTTCAACAGTCTGCCAGCTGAATCATGGTCTAATTAAACAGTTCAGATTTAGTGAGTTTGCATTTAAAGTATTAGCAGATTCGAGAATGGGTAAAGCTAAAATGAGTTAGAATCTTTTCTGTAAATGGGAAGTTAAATTATCATAGTAATTTGATTAAATCATTTTTAAATCTCACACGCTAAATCACAGCCTTTAAAGAATAGTTTGAAGTCTTAATTGCTGTTTGTGAGCATATCTCTCTGCTATTTGTTCTCGCCTCATTTCCTGTGACATCCTAGAATATATCTCCTGCCGGCCTGGGTGGGAGGGAAGGCCAGCCTGGGTGTGGGCACAGCCGAGACTGCGGCTGACTTCAGGCATCTGAAGGTCCACCGTGGAGAAGGAGGAAATCACCCAATGGGGTTCCCATAGCTGGGACCAGGACCCAAGTCTGGACCTTGGAGACAGATTTGGGAAAATATGAAGAAGATATTTCTGATAATTAGCTCTGTTCCTTATCAAGTGGAGTGCTCTACGTATAACTGCAAATATCTTCTTGCAAAGGGGGGAGAAGATTTTCCAGGAAGATGCAAAGTTGAACGGAATGAGCTCAGAGGACAGTTTCAACTCTTATTTTTCTTTATTGATTTTTTAGAGAGAGAGGAAGGGAAAGGGAGAGAGAGATAGACACATCAATGAGAGAGAACATCGACTGGCCGCCTCCTGCATGCCCCCCACTGGGGATTTGGCCCACAACCTGGGCATGTGCCCTGACCAGGAATCAAACCAGCGACCTCTGGGTGCAGGGTCGACGCTCAACCACTGAGCCACACCGGCCAAGCAGACCGCCGGTTTCTCTTCAAACAGCATCTGACCCCAAAACAGAGAAAACGGTCAGAGTTTATAGCTGTCATCTCTGTGACTATGTTCCCCTCAGTAACATTACCAGCCCTCAAAAAACCATGTGCTTGTTTTAAAGAGAGACAAACAGGAAGGGATGGGATTGATGTCCATCCAGGAACAAGATGGGAGAGAAGTCAGGAGAGAAACAGTCCACAGGGCCGGACCGGGGGTACAGGGGGGAAGGTGCAGGGCTGGACGGGGGGTACACTGCAGAATGCCTGAGTGCCACTATCATCATGTCTAGTGTGGAAGAATTCTTTCTTTTGGCCTCTTCAGGCAGGAATCAAGTCTTGAGTAGTGAACACTTATAAACAACTTATTCCAGATTATTCAGAACTCCTTCCAAGAAATATGTCATTAACTGCCTAATGCAAATAGGGGTCAGTTCACCAATCACATGGTGAAATGATCCATAAGTGACCATGGAAAAGAATAAAACAATACACAAAATGCAGAGACCGTTTAAAAACACGTAGCCACTTACAGTGCAGTCTTTTAATTACTTTGCCATAATTTTTTTTTTTTTTTATCATATGTTTAGCCACTTGATTTTAAATTACATTTCCCCTCTTGGTGCATGTGATCTGGTATGTGAGTTATAGGAAGGATGAGGCTGACTACATATATCTTAGAACTCTGCATTCTCTGAGAACCAGAATTATTAAACATTCAGAATTCCCCCAAAGACCCCATTATGTATAATTAACAGATAAACTGTCATCAGAATCAATAAAACGTGCTAAATGATTAAAACTTGTACATAATTAACTGTCTCTTTTAGAGCTATAACTTTTAGAGCTATAACTTCTCCCCTCCCCTCCCCCAAATCGCACAAGTCTCAGAGGAATCAGTGTGGTAACACGGTTAACCCTTTCCTTGCTTGATCAAATTAGATTTTTAAATTACATTCTGGAACTCATTGATCTAAAGGCTCGTTCAGCAGAGACACAGACTATGTAAGGCACGTTGAAGGAACCATGACTCGTAAACTAAAAAGTCTACCACGGAACAGTGTTACACGCAGGGTATTTACACGGAGTTCTTCAAATCTTGATCATCAGCATTTTCCTTTCCTTCTGGGAACTAGGAGGTTTTTCAGGGCAAGGTCAGAATTTTAAACAACTTTAGCACAGAAAGTAATACTTGGAATAGATGGTCTTCCCTAATTGTTGAATGAATGAATAAATAGTGCATGAGGCAATGAATGAAATAGCCAAGATCGTAATCTGTTAAAAGAAAGGTTTCTCTTGCTCAGTCTTATGAGGGAAAGAAAACAATAAACCCATACTTTTTATTTATTTTATTTTATTTTTTTCTTTATTGATTTTTTAGAGAGGAAGGGAGAGGGAGAGAGAGAGAGATAGAAACATCAATGAGCAAGAACATTGATTGGCCGCCTCCTACATGCCCCGCACTGGGGATCGGGCCCACAACCTGGGCATGTGTCCTTACTGGGAATCAAACCGGTGACCTCTTGGTGCATGGGTTGATGCTCAACCACTGAGCCACACCAGCAGGGCCAAACCCATACCTCTCTCGTAATGATTCCTATGTTCTCCTGGAGCACTGATAACTATCATCTCCAGGGACTTTGAGACCCAAACCATAGAAGATTTGGAAAGGTGAGACTCTGGGCCAGTCACAGCTTAGAGGAGTTCACGAATCCTATCTGAGTTCCATGACCCTCACACGCACGGGTTTTCCTGCTGGCTAATCGTGTTGTTTCCATTCTCTGCTTTGCTGCACAGACTCCATGCACATCGAAGACGTGGAGGCCGTTCAGAAGCTGCAGGACGTCCTGCACGAGGCCCTGCAGGACTACGAGGCCGGCCAGCACATGGAGGACCCGCGCAGGGCCGGCAAGATGCTGATGACGCTGCCCCTGCTGAGGCAGACCTCCACCAAGGCCGTGCAGCACTTCTACAACATCAAACTCGAAGGCAAGGTCCCCATGCACAAACTGTTCTTGGAGATGCTGGAGGCCAAGGTCTGACGAAAGGCGCCCTGGGCCGTCTGCACGCCGAAAGGGGACAACCTAAGAGTGATGTCGAAGACACATAGAGCGTAGTTAACACCATCGAAAATCAGCAAAGACTGCACTGATCATTTAGCAGCAAGACTATAAAGCAGCTTTTCAGATGTCTCGTCTTTCTTTCTCATTTCTCTTTATTATTATTTCTCTCTCTCTCTCTTACTCCTCCTTTCTCTCATTTCTTGATTATCGGTTCCCTCTCTAATTTCCTTCCTTCCTTCCTTCCTTCCTTCCTTCCTTCCTTCCTTCCTTCCTTCCTTCCTTCCTTCCTTCTTCCTTCCTTCTTCTACTCTCCTTTCTCTCTTCTCATCCTTTCCCTTTCTTCTAAATTTTAATAGCGCTAGATGTAAGAAAAATTTTTTCTCTTCCTTCCTTCCTTCCTTCCTTCCTTCCTTCCCTCCTTCCTTCCTTCCTTCCTTCCTTCCTTCCTTCCTTCCTTCCTTCCTTCCTTCCTTCCTTCCTTCCTTCCTTCCTTCCTTCCTTCTTCCCTCCCTTCCTCCCTCCCTCCCTTCTGCTGCTGAACTTTTAAAAGTGGTCTCTAATTGAAGAGGTGGAAGCCAGCCCTGCCAAAGGATGGAAATCCATATTATGGATGCCAGTGAACTTGTTATGGACCATAACGTCCCCAATGACTAAGGAATCAAAGAGAGAACCCACGCACCTAAGACACAGTGCGGCATACACGAACTGACTGAGTGCAGTATTAGATTTCATGGGAGCAGCCTCTAATTCAACCTCTTCAGCAACTTTGCATCGGCTGCTTCTTATCATTGCTTTTCCATCTAGATCAGTTACAGCCATTTGATTCCTTAATTGTTTTTTCAAGTCTTCCAGGTATTTGTTAGTTTAGCTACTATGTAACTTTTTCAGGGAATAGTTTAAGCTTTATCCATTCATGCAATACTAAAGAGAAATAAGAATACTGCAATTTTCGTGCTGGCTTTGAACAATTACGGACAATAAATGAAGGACAAATGAATCCTGAAGGAAGATTTTTAAAAGCGTTTTGTTCTTACAAATGGAGATTTTTTTTGTACCAGCTTTACCACTTTTCAGCCATTTATTAATATGGGAATTTAACTTAAGCAATAGTTGAAGGGAAGGTGCATATTATCACGGATGCAATTTATGTTGTGTGCCAGTCTGGTCCCAAACATCAGTTTCTTAACATGAGCTCCAGTTTACCTAAATGTCCTCTGACGCAAAGGGTTCGATGTACCTGCAGGGACTCTGGGTGGTGACGCTACCCGCGCTGCACATGGGATGCAGATGCTAGAAGTTTCAGAACTGCGCTCTCCCCCCTGGGAGGTGCAGCTGCCACGTGATTTCTGGCTGTCCCGGTGTTAGGGATGAGTTCCTGCCAGTTTGCCAAGTTCCAGACCTTGCTGCAGAAGGAGCTGTGAGCAGTAGCCATTGAAGAGGCACTAAGGCGAATGCCAGGGTTTCAACCACTGCACATCGTCAAAGACAACGGATGCCTGACCAAATTCGAAACCCGTCTGTCGGAGTTGATTCATTTGGGAATGTTTGTTTAAATTAATCTGCAGTTTTTTGCCAAGAGCTAAGCCAATAGATCTGCTTCTCAACCAGTGTTTGTCACAGCAAGAAAGTCAGGTTCCAGACTGTTCAGAGGTGAAATCTAATGAAGAAATCAATTAGATGCCCCCGAAATCTACAGTCGCTGAATAACCAAGAAACAGTAACCTCCATCAAATGCTATACCAATGGACCAGTGTTAGTAACTGCTCCCTGTACTTTGTGAAGTCTTACTCTATGTACACAGATGTAATTAAAATTGTAATCCTAACAAACAAAAGAAGTGTAGTTCAGCTTTTCAATGTTTCATGTTTGCTGTGCTTTTTCTGACTTTTATGTTGCATTCAAAGACTGTCTGTCTTGTTCTTCTTGTGGTATTTGGATTCTTGTGGTGTGTGCTTTTAGACACAGGGTAGAATTAGAGACACTATTGGATGTACAATTCCTCAGGAGACTACCGTAGTATATCCGATTCCTTACCAGTGATAAGGTTCTTCCTAATAATAATTAAGAGATTGAAACTCCAAACAAGTATTCATTATGAACAGATACACATCGAAATCATAATAATATTTTCAAAACAGGAATAATTTCTCTAATGGTTTATTATAGAATACCAATGTATAGCTTAGAAATAAAACTTTGACTATTTCAAGAATAGAGATAAGTCTAATTTTTAAACGCTGTATATATGGCTTTCACTCACTCATCTCTCCGACGTTGTTATTAACTCGCTCTGTGTTTTGCAAAACTTTTTTGGTGCGGATACGTTTCCAAAACTCTTGCTACTTTGTGTGATTTAAACAAAATACCTTGGGTTGATGTTCCATCACCCTCATGCTAGAAATACTGTGTATCTATCATTAGCTATATGGGACTATATGTAGATCGTGGTTTCTCAGTAGAGAAGTGTCTGTAATGTGATTCTAGATAAATCATCATTAGCAATTCATTCAGATGGTCAATAACTTGAAATTTATAGCTCTGATAGGGGTTCAGAAATTGGCACATCCCTTGAAAACTAACAAGAGAAAAATCCAACTCCTGGGAAAATAAAAAGGTGCTGATTCTATAAGATTATTTATATATGTAAGTGTTGAAAAAGATTCTTTTCCAGAAAGTCTGTGCAGGGTTTAAGTTGCTACTATTCAACCACACTAGGTATAAATAAAATATATACAATAGATACATCGTTTTTAACTGTATCACATTAAAGTACTTGGGCTTCAGAAGTAAGAGCCTACTAACTGAAAACATGAGATGGAGAGATATAAAAAGAGATACACTTTTTTGTTTTCAGTTTAAGTGGAACAAGTATCCCATAAATAGGAAACACAGCTAACATGCAGATGTAACAGGACTGCACAGGCTTTAGGACAAATGCTCATCCTGCACCTCGCTGGAGGTAAGTCTTTGCGAATTTCAAGCAAGACCATTTACTTAATGTGAAGTTCTGGGAAGTTACAAAGGTGTATGTTTTAGCCATATGATTTTAATTTTGATTTTTGCTTCTTTTTCAGTTTGTTCTTATTTAAAGCAATATGATTGTGTGACTACCTGCTGTTACACTTGTGTTTCAATCAGCTCAGATTGTTGTATTTATGCCACTATTTTGCATTTAAATGATAACATAAAAGATATAAAAAATTTAAAACTGCTATTTTTCTTATAGAAGAGAAAATGGGTGTTGGTGATTGTATTTTAATTATTTAAGCGTCTCTGTTTACCTGCCTAGGAAAACATTTTATGGCAGTCTTATGTGCAAAGATCGTAAAAGGACAAAAAAAAAAAAAATTTAAACTGCTTATAATAATCCAGGAGTTGCATTATAGCCAGTAGTAAAAAGAATAATAATAATAATAATAAAACCATGTCTATAGCTGTAGATGAGTTTCACATCTCTAAAGCAATTAACTGTATATTTTTGTGATGTGTACCATACCGTGTGCTCCAACCAATGTCCATTTGTGTAAATGTATTTATTTTATATTGTATATATTGTTAAATGCAAAAAGGAGATATGATTCTGTAACTCCCAATCAGTTCAGATGTGTAACTCAAATTATTATGCCTTTCAGGATGATGGTAGAGCAATATTAAACACACTTCCACTTTTGATTGTTCCTCTCCGTGGTGTTTCTTTATTTCCCCCACAAAAGAAGCCGATCCATCAACACTGCCCTTTGTGGCTTCCATCGAAAGAGTGTCTCTGAGTACCTGTTCCCTAAAAATAAAGTAGGAGTTTAAATAAGAGCTATATAAAGGCTTGTCGGAATGAATTCGAGGGTGCCAAGAGACATTTTGCATATTTAAGAGGATGCAAAGTGTCTCCTGGCACATTAGAATCCATTCTGACAAGCCTTTATATAGCTCTTACTTAATCTTCCAGCATCCCCACACCCTGCGTTACTCAGAATTATCTCCTCTGTGGCAGTGTCATAACAGAGAACTTTCCCCCTGTTTTAGGATCACGTTAAAACTAGAGGTGCCTGTTATTTCCCTCCAGCCACAGTGAAGTCACGTGTGTGCACCGGCTGGCCCAGCTGCAGGCTTCAGGGAGGAGCGTGGAGTCCTCGCTGCCCAGATTTCCTGAATGAGAAATCAACGGGCCTGCAGGTGGCCAGCGTGGGGGAGGGGAGCTGTCTCCCGGCTCCAGAGGGTCAGCAGGGTGCTGACAGCAAATAGCCTCCCCTCGCCTTTCCACTCGGAGGTCACAGCCGCGCTCGTCCCCTGGACCCGCCTGGAGCCATCACCAAGGTGCTGATATGTGCGTCCTTCTCTGCCTGGCGTGTGAGTTTTTGTCAGCGTGTTGGTCCGCTGTATTTCTCACCTTCCGGAGGTGCCGGTTCTCTCGAGAAGCAAACTGATGACACGGTTTTAGGGACACGAGATGGCTTGAGTCACTAAGACGCGGGAGCCAGCCCCAGAACTCTTCCTTCCTCCTCGTCTGAGGGCCCATAGAATCGGACGCGCTCGGGTAGAACAGGGACAGAGCAACAGACAATCCTGGAAGGATAAAGTCCTGCCTGGAACCTTCCAGGTCGTCCTTGTTTAAAAATAGGTTACATGTGGATGCCTTTCAAGAACTTAGTTGTCGGAGTTCTTTTGCTGACGTCCCATACGTTCTATGCCTTAGGATTTTTACGAGCATTGTCTTGGTCCTGCCTTGTCACTCAGGAATGCCTCAGGGGTAAAAGAAAGTAACAACCCATTTGGGCATTTTATGTTGTGTTTCTGGATACACAGCCAGCCAGTCCTGGGACAAATGGGTTCTTCTGTTTAAGGGTCACTTTTTTTTTTCTTGTACGTGTCCCTAGCAGGAACCAAACCTGGGACTCTTTGGTCCACAGGCTGATGCTCCAACCGCTGAGCCAAACCGGCCAGGGCTAAGGGTCACTTTTATTCGCACCTGTTGTTTACAAGTAATTTTCTTAACATAGCGCTCCCAACTAGGCTGCAAGTTGGAGTCACCTGGACAGTGTTAAGAAGGCCATGGTAGCCCCAGCCCCTGAGATTGGGGTTGAATTGGTCCCAGGCGTGACCCAGGCTTTGGGATAATGGAATGAAAACCCTCCAGGTGAAGACAGCACTGCTTTATTATTCTATTTTTATGTTTTTATCCTCACCCGAGGACATTTTTCCATTTTTTCTTCAGATAGAGTGGGAGGGAGAGAGAGAGAGACATTGGTGTGAAAGGGACACATGGAGTGGCCGCCTCCCCCAGGATCCCAACCAAATTGCTACCTGAGGTACGTGCCCTTGACCAGTTCAGACCCGCGACTCATTGGCCAGGGCGACAGCACTGCTTCTGATGTTACACATAAATCAGCCACGAGCATCCTAACTTGTTTTTTAAACTGTTCATACATTGGCTCTGAATTTTTGTGAGGGTTTTAGACCATTTATAGACAATCGAGACAAAAGAATGTCTTTTTAACTCACGCATCCAAAGGCCACGCAAGCCACTGGGATTGTTTTGACCTCCACTGTCCCCACCCCCTCGCTGCCCTGCCCATCCCCAGGTGTTCCCGCACACTCAGAGCTGTCTTATTGTTGACCTCAAGCCACACCTTCTGGTCACGCACCATATAAAAATGGAGACACCTGTTTAGAAACTTCTGCAGAATAATCACAATCTTATTTTTATTTAAACTTTTAATGCTATGCTTTTGGTCCTTTCATCTGCTTTAAAATGGATTTAGGTGTGGTTCAAAAATACCTATTTGTTTGTTTTTGTTTTCCTGCTATCAAAAGCAAAATCAGCAACAAAATGAGAACAAAATTGGTTTCTCAGAAGGACTTATCTGACCTGTATTTTCCAGGGTGCTGGTTTAGGTAAGAGGTAGAAATAAGACAGGCTCCGTCATTCTCGGGCCCGTGCCAAAAATCTAGGTACACTTTGCTAAGTGTGAAGTTTACTCTGTGATTCATCTGTAAAAAACAAGCGAGGCACGCTTGGGTAGGTTTCTGTTTCATCCACAGTGGTTTACGCACTGAATGGATAGTCCCGTAGTCCCACAGACACAGAAGTGTTAAAATCAGCGTCCCCGACCCTTTCAAACCTCTAAGTCTGGCCTCGTGTTCTTTGGTAGCGAGGAGAAAAAATAAAACCGGGCAAGTAACAGTCGATGGATTGCACACTACATCTTATTATGAAACAAAATAGAAAAGAAAGGAATTTCAAACTAGAATCCCCCTCCCCCAGGAGTATTTGTCTTGTTCTCCATGAAGTTAAAGGTCTGAAATAATGTGCCCATCAGGGGCTCAATGTTGCATGTCCCACCCAGTTGGTCCAAGGGCTTGTTATGATGGTAATGACCGACCGAAACCTGATCTCGGATCGCAACAATGCGATTCGACCCGCTCCCCCGCTGGGAGAAATATTTTATTATTGTCAAAAGTCCTCCATAGAGATTTGTCTGGCCTGTTCCTGTTTAAATTACATTCACAGAAAAACCGCATTACTATTTCTCTGAAGTGTGTTTGAGAAAAACAACTAGCCTCAAACTGTGGGGTTCCTGGCTGGCTCAAACTTGTCTATTAGCAAAAGAAGTAGAGTAGGTGATGCTGTAGCTGTAGGAATATCATGACGACATCCCCACAAGAGATTTACATGCTGAGTCCGCGGCCTAAAAGCAAGAGAACTTCCTTCTTCAGTGCCAGGTTATTTACCTGGTGCATCCATGCTGCCACCTTACAAAAGGAAAGCTGTCCCAACATACCCACGTGTGCCCTGGAATGACACAAGAACTTGCCCATGAAAACATTTGCCCCACGTAGGAAGGGTTTTTAAACTTCAGATTGTAAACCAAATGTGTGTGTGTGTGTTGTGTGTGTGTCGGTGTGTGTAAAACTATTTTTAACCAGCACCATGGTAGCCATATAACCACAGAAGCCCAAGCCATGAATGAAAATGCTCTTTAAACATAAATATACTTTTCAATATTGTCTTTAAAAAGAATTGAGGGATCAGGAGGAGGGTGTCAATAGGGGCAAAAGGAGAAACATCTGTAACAAGAATAATAAATAAATAATAAATGAAAAGAATGTCCTAGACCCTATGGGAGTATTTGGATCATATTTTGCTCAAGGCCCTAGACCGCGGCTTTGACAAAATTTCCGAAGCAGTGATGGGTTCCTCAATACAAATGTTGTTGCTGGCAGTCAATGAGAACTGGACCTATTCCCACCCCCCAACCCCCCGAAAAAGGCCATTTTCTTTGTGAAAATCCCAGTGACCTGTGTGATTCGTAAGGGACTGGACTTTGGAGAGCTGGTTTTAGGAAAAACAAACGAACTGTTGGGAGAGGTCGCTAAGAGGAGCGGACAAGAAAGCGACCCAAACCAACACGAGCCTAAATCCTCCTCTTCACCCTCCAGTTCAACCCGCCAGGCTCGGCGGAGTGTCACAGTGTTGTTGGGAAGTGAGGAGCTGGCTGCTTAAAAAAAAAAAAGAAAGACATCGAAAACTCAAGCCACAAAAGCGTTTTCCAAAATGATGTCTAGAGTTCTGCAGGGGTTGCTTTTTGTCTTTTTAAATACGTGATTAAGTATTTTTACAAATGAAAAATACTGCACATTAATGTTTCCAAATATCCTGCAGGTACTTTTGTTCTTTTTGTTGTTGTTTGTTACATTTATCTTTCTTTACTAATTTTAGAGAGAGAGGAAGGGAGAGGGGGAGAGAGAGAGAAATATCGATGAGAGAGAACATCAATTGGCCACCTCCTGCATGCCCCCCCACTGGGGATCTGGCCCACAACCTGGGCATGTGCCCTGACCAGGAATCGAACCGGTGACCTCTTGGTACATGGGTTGATGCTCAACCACTGAGCCATACAGGCCGGGCATTTTTGTATTGATCTCTCTGAAATTCATGATTTCCACTAAAGTTTCATTTTGCTTTGGGCTTCCTTTGTTGAACAAAGTGGGTTGAGCAGGCCCAAAGTAGCAACTTTATTCTTATAAATCAAAACAGATACATAGCTACTATTTTAAATGTATGCATTGAAAAAAAAAAATTATCCATTTCTCCACAGAAATAAATACAGGGGTAGACAAAAAGTAGGTTTACAGTTATTTGTATGGAAAATAGTATAATAGCTAATAAAAATAATAAAAGAATTAATAAAACATAATACAAGAATAAAGACTGTGTTTCGCATGCTCACAACCGTAAGCCTACTTTTACCCTCCCCGGTGTGTACTTCAGAGTAATTTCTAGGCTGGCTCTGCTGTTCAGATATGACGTTTCGATGTGACACAGGGAATTCGGTGGCATGTGACTTCCTCCTTGTACCTTACTGAGACTTGGTGGCGCTGACGGAGTCTGGGGAAAATGACAAATGATAAATGATCGTTTCACGTGTTTGATTCCGTCATCCTGGCTTTAACCTCCAGGTCTGCCACTGACTAGCTGAGTTCCCCTGCTACCCAAGGCCAGTCAATGTCAGCCATGGGGATAAACATCCTATCGGAGGGTTGTTATTAGAATTAAATGAGATCATTAATGAAAACACCTTACTTGGTTCAACATGGTGAGAATTCATGCTTTTATCTGATTTTTATTTTTAACTTTTTTCTTTCTTTTTCCAAAAGAGGCTGGATAGGTAAGACTCCAG